AATAGGTAAAAAAAGTGGGATGATCCAAATGTCTAAAGACAGGTGACTGATTAAGGAAAATATGGTACATTCACTGACTGAACTATTATGTAGCCATTACAAATAATGTCTTAAAATCATTTGTAATAATATTATATACAAGTGGGTTTTTTTCATGTGAAATGGAAAATGCAGCAGAATACAATGTTGCAAGAGCACAGGTGTGCTTGCAAAACAAAGCGTTTTATTAAAATATAAAAGAAAATACACTTATTTTTCAATAGTTGTCTTTAGGTTATAGAGCTATGGGTGATTTTCCCCTTATTTCCATGATCTGTATTTTTCAACTTTTCTGTAATGAATAGGTATTATTTACAAGGAACTGCTTCTGTTTTTCAATATGTCTGTAATGAGTAGGTATTACTTATAAGGAATATTTTTAAATAGACTTATTATACAATGCTCTAGATACACTCAGAAAAATTAAATGGAAGAAAAACTTCTCATTTTCAATGAAGGTGAGCAATCCTATGAATTGAAAACTTTAGTGCTTTTAGAAGGAGTTTCAGTTTTCTAAAAGTGAACAGAGAAAACTTTTAAAGGCCATGTCTAAAGGCCATGATTACAAGGTTCACAAGTGGAGAAAGAGGCAAGTATAGCGTGAAAGAAGGAAGCCTGGTGGCGCAATAGTTAAGTGCTCAGCTGCGAATAGAAAGGTTGGCAGTTCAAACCCACCCAATGGCTCCGTGGGAGGAAGACCTGGTGATCTGCTGCTGTGCAGACTACAGCCTAGAAAACCCTATGGCGCAGCTGCACTCTGACACCTGGGATCACTATGAGTGCAAATTCACTCAATGGCACCCCGCGACAGCAGTCGGAAGGTGTGTGCAACGCATTGATTCTGCAATAAAAAGACAGAAACTGAAGCTTAGCAAAACCTCCTTGGATAATGGGAATAAAAAAAAAAAGTTGAATGAAACGCCATTCCAAGTGAATCCTACAATCAATGCATGTCTGAGATTGATATACTTGCTGGACACGTGCATGCTACCATTTACATTTTTATTTCGACTGCATAGCATAAATAGAAGTGTTTTGTTTTACAATGAGTATGTGGTTTATTTCCAAATAAAAACTGATCTCTTTGCTATTCCAGTGTAGTAGCAAATAGGGGGCATGAAATATTTATGATTATCAAAAGGAACCCTGGGATATATATCACACAAAAAAAGTAAAAATAAATATTCCATACCCAAGAAGGTAAAACATTTTTTAAAAAAAGGGGGGGAGGAGAAGTCTCATCTCAAAAAGGTTAAAAAACCTGATAAAAGGCTAAATGTATCTTTGTGCCACAGCAGAGTCTGGCAATTCAGCTATCACTCAAACAGTCCCCTAAAACTTGGAGGCCCCTGTGTATCAATCAAAAGACACACTTGGGGGACTCCCATTTTGCCTACTAAGTAAATTTTCTGCTGCTTCATAGGAGGTTTTCATGGAAAGATGAGTCATTTTTAAAATGCATTCACACAAGACTCACTTTTAGTGAAAACTAAATGTTGGCATATTCCCCACCTGCTTAATTCCTTACGAGGCCCTGGCCTCCATGGGCAAAAGGCTAAAAGTTCCATATTTTACTTACAGAAAGCTTATGCAGAAGATAGGGCCGCATTACTATTCCTGATTTCCAAATATGAAAACTGACACCCAGAGAAGTTGAGTGACTTCCTTAGGGCCCCCATCCTGGACTCCTATCAGTCTAAAACCCTTTGCAGTAAAGAACAGAATTTGCCTTGACAGTTGATTAAGTCATTAATTCAAAAATATTTGCTGAGTACCTGCTATGTGCCAGGTTGTGTTCCTGGTGCAGGAGACACAACAGTGGCCTTCCTCTCCTAGAGATTACATTGTAGCAGAAGAGTCCAGCAATAAACAAGTAAACTTCAGGGAGTTTTAGCTCCTTGAAGAAAAATAAAGAGGGTGTAACTAACTGGAACAGAGAGAGGACACTCATTGTGCATAAGATAGTCAAAGAAGTCCTCTGTGAGGAATGAGACACTTGAAGAAATATATGAATCAAATGTATTCTTGGCAGAAGGAACAAGTGCAAAGACCCTAAGACGGGACATGCTTGGCATCTTTGAGAAACAGCCAGGAGGTCAGTGTGGCTGAAGGTTAAGTGAGAATTTGTGCCACACACTGTCCCTTGTCCCCCCTCCCTTGCCTAGACATCTTTTGTACCTTCTCTTTGTACCTCTAGGCTTAGTTCCATCACCTCCTCTGTCAGCTTTTCTAAAGCAGCTCCTTTCACCACCCCAGTTGACTTTCACTGGCCTTACCAATGAAATAAGCAAAACATAAAGATCTGAACCCAAGAGATATAGTAGCCTACACGTATTTCCCTTGAATTCTTTATAATAAATGGATTGAGCAAGGCCAGAAAGTGGGGATATTCTGGTTAACTGAAAGTTGCTACAAGTGTGGATGGCCCATTTTTAAAAATCAACGGAGCATACAAATGAAAGTTCTCTAACGCCAGCCTCAATGTAATGATCTTTCTTCACTGACCCAAAAGGTACTTCAACATCTTGTATTAGGTACTGAAGCCAGCATTTCCCCTCATTTTGTGTCTGCCTAGGAACTACTGTGCAAGCCTGGTGTTTTCACGCATGCTTGTATCCCGCTGCTGGAAAGTGCTTGGGCTAGGTCCTTCCCCAGAAATGCCCTCCCACTCAAGAGCACTAAAAGAAATCAAACTGAAAAGAGAAGGTAATAATGGTAACACCAGCTTACGCTCAATGAACATTTACTATGTCAGGCCCAGTGCTAAGGTTTTTTATGTGCTATATGGCATTTAATCTTCACAAACCTAGGAGGTAAGTAATACTATTCCACCCATTTTATGGATGAGAAAACAGAGGGACTTAGAGGTTAACTTGCTGGAGGTCACAAGCCTAGCATCTGACTAGCACTGGATTAGATCTGAGAACTGCCCGACTCTGGAGCCCTGGAGCAAAGATGAAGGTACATCTGACTCAAAACGGAATTTAACCTGAGACATGCCTCAGCAAAGGGCAAGGCTGAATCATAACAAAGGTGTTTTCCTTCTGTGCCCTTTACGACTGCTGTCAGTCCCCACTTCTTTCAAAAAGAGTCCTCTTTCTGAAACTCCCAACCTTGACACAATTCTTCTAAAGGAAGCTAAATAAGCAGATCCAGAGAGGCAACCGGGCCGAATGGACTGTTTTTGAGTCTTCCTCCTCTCCTTGAATTCTATGGTCTTCCTTTGGGAAAACGTCTCCAAAACTTTTTCAAGAGAGCTGACTGAAGAAAGGCCTTTCCTTCTCTGGCGCTGGTAGCCCCAAATCTGGCCAGTCCACCATTCTAGAGCTCCACCTGGCTGACCTCTACTAGATGGCAAACGGAAGCTGGGAGCTTGGATCTTTTTGAAGCGACAGTCAGTTTTGAGGCCCTGTTCCCCACCCTGGTGAAGTCCTTCTGGAGCCCAGGCAGCCCAGGACACCAAATCCCCAGTGAGTGAGCCGCCCGGGCCAAAATGTGGTCCACCACAGCCCAAAGCTGGGTCAGAAGAAACCCTTGGGACCATTGAGCAAGCAGAGCGGATGGCCTCTAGGAACTCCAGCTGCCCGTGCCCCTGCCCGAGCCGTCGTCACCTCCGCCCACAGCCAATGCCCTTGGCTGGCCCTAGGCCTGGCAGAGAGCTGACCGCTGCAGGCCCTGCCCTGGGGGGACACAACACCATACTCACAGCACACACAGGCAGTACACGCCCGGGACGCTCTCGCTGTCCCTCAGCAAATAGCTGCCGTCCAGACCCGTGGCGAGCAGGAGCTTTTCCCCGGTCTCCCGGCTGATTTTGCCGTGGTATACGGCCACCGCCTCCATGGCCTGGCGGAGTCCTGGGCAGGCGGAGGCGAGGGAAAAGCAGAAAAGAGAATGCCACCTCTACTGCAGCAAGGCACAACTCAGCCACCTGGCTCTCAGTTCAGCCAGATGTGTGAAAAAGGGAGAGACGTGCTCCAACAACAGGATGTTGTCGACGCACCCTAAAACCTCCTTCTCACACTTCACTGAAGAGCAACTCAGCAATTTAGCAGCTTGGTTATTGCCACTGGGTTCGACTCCCCTCCGCGTACCCCAATCATATGGAGAGGGAAAGAAAGTTCAAAGAAAGTCCTGACAAGAAGATTTAAGCTGCACTACCAATGCCTTGCACACAGACAGGAACGGTGAGCTGTGCTTCTGTCCTTGCAGTTTTCTCAGGGGCCACCAGGGACAACTCAACTTAACTAGTCTCCAAAGGGGAGGATGATAGAGGCAAATTGTATACGGCCTTTATGTGAGGCAGTAACCTACTGACAGCATGGAAGGCCTAAAAGCTGAGACCAAAACACCAAAACTATCAGGATTATCACTGGGCTATAGCTACTGAACATGGCCCGGAGGTTCCTCCACAATGAGTAGGTGAACTGTGGACATTGGATAAGCCCTTTCTCTTCCTCCTTCTCCTCCCCTCATGTAGCCATCTTGAGTGATCTTCCAAACCAAACCAACTCACTGCCATCAAGTCAGACTCCAACTCATAGCGACCCCCATAGGTTTTCCAAGGCTGTAAGTGTTTATAGAAGCACACTGCCTCATCTTTCTTCCATGGAACGGCTGGTGGCTTCAAACCACCAACCTTTTGGTTAGCAGGCAAATACCTTAACCACTGCACCACCAAAACTTCTCTGAACAGTTTAGGCCTGAAATATTCATTTTGTTTTCCTACCATCTTGTCCAAGATCCCAAAGTGCTAGCTGAGGTACAAAAATTATGTTGTTGTTGTTATGTGCCGTCGAGTCGGACTCGACTCATAGCAACCCCTCCTTGGGTTTCCGAGGCAGCATCACTACGGAAGTAGATTGCCCCATCTTCCTTCCGAGGAGTGGCTGGTGGGTTTGAACCGCCAGCCTTCTGGTTAGCAGTCAAGTGCTTTAGGCACTATGCTACTAGAGCTCCTACAAAAATTATAGGTATTTCAAAAGATGTTCCAGATTTATCTATCTGAAGGACGTAGATGAGAGACTGAATCGTCTACTTGGTGCTTTGCCTTTACGTGGACATGTATGTGTCCTTTGATGTATAGGGCCCATCTTTCAGCACTTGGGGCATAAAACCTGTTTTAAATCACTTTGCAAGTGTTGATAATTGTGCTGTAACTTTTATTCTCTGTTGTTTCTGGAGAATATGCTTTTTCTTCAGATGATGCTAAACTGTCATTAATTTATTTTAAAAACGTCAAACTCATTTCCTTCTCTGAAATAAAAAATATTGATTCTATTTCAGAACGTACTGGGTTTTTTGTTTTGTTTTTTTTATTGTGCTTTGTGTGCAAATTTACAGAGCAAATTTGTTTTCCATTCAACAGTTCGTGTACATTTGATTCCGTGCCCCGATTACCATCCCCGGCCATAACAAACTCTCTTCCCCTCCCGTCCCTGTGACGAACCCCGCCCCGTGCCCTTCTGAACTATGCACTCCTATCTGTCCAGATTTCCCTCTATCAGAATGTACTGTTAGTAATGTTACCCAAAAATACCCTCCCCTTTCACTAGAATAAGACATTTCTTAATGCTTAAAGCTGTAAGGTCTTATACTTGTACCTTTAGGTCATGTAAATAAAATTTTTTTTTTCATTGGAATTTAAACAATCTGTGGTACACTTTTCACAACTTCAGTGCCTAGGTCTTTGAGCATATACCAAGGCTAAACTCAATATAAAGAATGACTTTTCAATCCTCACATGTCTTATTATGCTGAGTAAAATAAGTCAATCACAGAAGAACAAATATTGTATTAGTTCATTATTGTAAAAAGTCAAGGGAAGGTTTATATATGGAAAGAAAACTTCTTTGTTGGTTACCAGGGTGGGAGGGGAAGGGAAGGGGAGGGAACACTACGAGATAGGTAGAGACAAGTATTGATTTGGGTGAAGGGAAAGGCAATGTACCAAATGTGAGTAATCAACATATTGCCATTGAAGAAGAGGAAGACATAGAGAGGTACATGGAAGGTACAGACAACAAAGATGAACCCTTTTGCATGTACAGTACTGCATTGTCAGTGATGGCAAGCATTGATCTACATGATGGGTGGACAAGCTGAACAATCAGGTATGCCTAGGCAGGGGGTAGTGTGCCTGTGACTATGTATAGGGTTAGCAGACAATGTTTCTACATGCATATCTGTATCTGCTGTAAGAATGTCCCGGTGAAGAGCAGAGCTGACAAAGGGCAAGGTTGTGGTGGCTTCTTGGCCACAGCAAGCTACGCAGAGAGAGCGAGTATTTGGACCTGTGGGCTCGGGACCATAGTCCCAGGGAATATTGAGCTCAATTGGCATAGCATACTACACAAAAACATTGTTTTACATCCTACTTTGGTGAATAATGACTGGGATCTTAAAAGCTTGTAAACAGCCATCTAGATGCAACGACGAGTCTCTCCTCATCCAGAGCAAAGAAGAACAAAGAAAACCAAAGATGGATGGAGACAATTAATCCAAGGGACTGGTAGACCATGAGATCCTCAGCCTATATGACCATGAGACCAGAAGAACTAGATGGTGCCTGGCTACCACTGTCAACCACACAGAGGGGGGATCAGTGCAGGAGATCCTGGATAGAGTGGGAGAACAATGTGGAAAAAACT